AACATCCATTCATGATAAAAACTCTCAACAAAATGAGTGTAGAGGGCAAGCAAGTACCTCAACATAATAAAGGCCATATATGATAATCCCACAGCCAGCATTATACTTAACAGTGAGAAGCTGAAAGCTTTTCCTTTACAATCGGGAATAAGACAAGGGTGCCCACTCTCCCCTCTCTTATTCAGCATAGTTCTGCAGGTCCTGCCACGGCAATCAGACAACACAAAGAAATAAAAGGCATCCAGATTGGTAAGGAAGAATTTGAACTGTCCCTGTTTGCAGATGACATGATATTGTACATAAAAAACCCTAAAGAATTTAGTTAGTGATATATCTAATTTATCAGTCAAGAATCTGAATTAGTTGGGACACTTTCAGCTTCAAGTTAAAAAAGCAACTAACAAGAAGGATCTAAAAACAACTTAAATAAGAAATTTCTTTATTCTCTCATAAAAAAGATGTCTGGAAGCAGAGAAGCAAGGAAGTAAGTACCAGGGTTAGTTAACTCATCAGTGCAATGATATCATCGAGGATCTAGCATCCCTTCTATGTAAAAGTGGGGGCAAAGACTGGGAAAAAGTGGAACTATAAGACTCAGAGTGAAGACATTCGGGTGGATTCATACAATCTGAGAAATCTGAGCCTCCACGTCTCCCTTAGATTCTTGTTCTCTGCCTTCTTTTTCTTCTTTTTTCTTCTTTCTCTCTTTCCCTCCCACCGTCCCTCCTCCTCTTCCTTTCTTTCTTCTAATTGTAAAATAGTTTAAGACTCACTATAAGTTGCAAAAATAGTACAGAGTTCTAGTTTCCTCCAATGATAACTACAGTACCTTGTAAAAAGTAGGAAATGAATACTGGTACAGTATTAACTCAGATACAGGCCTTATTCAGATTTTGCCAGTTTTTACATGCACTCGTTTTTTGGGGATATACAGTTCTGTGATTTATCATATGTGTGGGTTCAAGTAACTATAACCACAATCAGGATTCAGACTGTTCTATCACCACAAAAAAACTCTTCTTACCTATTCATAGTCACTACCTTCCTCCAACTCTAACCCCTGGCAACATGGATCTGGTCTCTGTCATTATAATTTTGTCACTTCAAGAATATTATATCAATGAAATTATATAGTATTAACCGTTTTGATAATTCCCTTGAGATCCATTCAAATTGTTGTGTACATTGTTCTTTTTTATTGAAGAGTACTGTTTCATTCCCCTGAGCTTTCTTTGCTAACCAAAACACTCCTTTGTCCCATTCTGGGGAGACAAGCCTTCCCTTGATTGAAGACTGTATTCATCTGAAACAGTTCCTTGTCTGATCTGGTAGAAGATAGATTATAACTACCACCTCTACCACCACCCCCATCCCTAAATTGCAAGATATTGCAAATTTATACTGTCAGAGACCCGAGCATTTGTGTGGAAATGGATTCTATGAGTGCTAGACAAAAAAAGAACAGAACTTAACATTGGACTGGGATTCATTTACCAATATGGTGCACTTACGAGAGTTTTCAAGTCCAGTGTGTACCTCAAACAGTAGTTTGGCTGACTGAAAATGGGACCTAACGGTGGTTTTCTTTCAGTAGGTTGAGATGTGAAAAGTTACCTGGTATCATTTCAAGGAAGGAACCCAAAAGCTTTGCAAGCAGGACAAATTGTCCCAGAGGACACTCTTTTCATTAAGACAATGAGAAGTGCATTGATGAGGGGATCATCAGGGTCTTTAAAAAACTCATTGACAGTGGCCACCTGCAGGCCACGGATGATGGTGGGAGAGTTCACCATAGATATGGGTTCCTTGATTTCAAGTCAGAGTAACAAAGGCCAGTGGCCAGTGCTTAACCTTCAGGGACTAGGTGAATGCAGTTTTCAGAATGGGCAATACAACAAGAGTAGCAGTCAGATGTTTTATTTTATCTTACTTATGGTTGGAATAAAATCTTAGCTTTGAATAACCCTAAGTGTTTCTGAACAAACAGGCAGATAAGCAAACATATATGCAAAATGACCGGGTTCTAAACATGATACACACATCTATGACACAGTGCTCTTCAAAATGGAGTATGTCTACTTTGGAGAACACCAATTTAAATATCTAGCACAATCAGAAATAAAAAAAACAACAATTTAAACATCTAGACCATGCAGAAGATGGTCTATTGGAGTGAGGGGAAGAACATATGAAAAGTTCTCTATATTTTGCCTCTTATCCTCCTATCATTTTGATTTTTGAGCATTTGTAACATATATAACATGGTAGTACATATATAATTTGCACACAAATAAGTATATAATTTGGAAGTACATATTAAAAAACTACTGAAATGATGCATGATCAAAACCATTTAGAGATCATCAGCAAACTGTATTAATTTAATAAGTCTTGAAATAGTTGTAGCAACAAGACAGTGCTATCAATTCACAATGCATTTAATAAGGGATTGCATGGATGAGAGAGTTTTTAATATAGAGAAATGTGTTCCATATTAGATGGAATATAGTCTGTCTCTTTTAACTTCCTTTGTAACCCTGGAAAAGTTACTTAATTAGTCATGGCCTCATTTCTTTTTATCAAATATGGGAATTGGGCTAATTTGAAGCATTTATACTTATGCTCAGTGGAACTCCAGAGGTTCTTATGAGTTCCTGTAGAACTCCTACAAAGGTAGGAGAAAGAGAAGATTACAGGCTGGTTCCAGCCTACTATACCTAGCTCTCTTTAGAGATCAAATGTTCGGGGTAAGAACAGAGGGTTTGGAGGCAGGGAGGGAGAAAAGGAAAGAAAATCATTGGGTTGGTTCATCTCTTAGGATCCCCTTCCATTTTACAGGCAAAAAGAAAAGTTATAACTAATTTTTAGTAATCAAAATAAAAGCCTATCTAAATATTAGACTATGTCTTAGTAAGTACAAACCTCCTGGATGAGATAAATACAATAAACATGTGGAAAACCTTTATTAATTAATATACTGTGTTTGATAGAAAATGCAAGGTTGCACTATTAAGAATCTAACACCTCAGTTGGCTTTACTTGAATCAACTTACTTTATGAAGCAAACCACAGGTCTAACTTGTGCAGTGTTATATTTTTTCTAAATCTTTTTATCAACTTATTAATTCATATGGTCAGTTTAACTGGTTAACAAGGTAAGAATGAACCCAGGAAAGATCCCAGAGAAAGATGAAAGACTTAGAGCAGGAATACTTAATAGTGCCCTTGACTGAATAGTTGCAGTTGAGTAGCTCTGGCAAGAGCATATTTAAAATTTCCAGAGTGAAAGTATTTTTTGAAATAGACTAAATATTTGGTTGGCCTATTTTGAACAAATATTTTAATTCTGTTCAATCTCTAAAGTTAGCTTTATTTGACTGTGGGACTCCATATTGTTTTATTTACATGAAAAATCAAGAACATTTTATTTCAATGCATAACAACTCATCTCTCACATTTACACCCCTTTCTTTACGTTTGATTATTCGATTCCTCTGGAGTATTCCTCCTACCCTCTTGACTCTCAGGAAAAGCTTCAGTTTATGCTAACAATGCCTCCGTACTGGGCTGTGAAACAATGGTTTCAATCCTACACAGTACAATGTCGCTTCAGTAATAGCAGCCAGAAACCACTCTTCTAATCCTCTTATTTTCCTTTCAAGGCTGTCTTTTGCAATTAGGGGCTGAATTTTTAGTGGGTGAGGAATAGTTATCAGTGGGTAAGTTGCCTGTAAAATCACTTTCTGGAGAGCTTGCGCTGCGGGAGTCTACTTACCACTCAGACTCCGTAGGACGGCAAGACACACCTTCCACAGGTCTGCCCGTTGCTCACAACATTCAGTACCATTCTGCTCCTTTTAGACATATCACTACTCACTCACTCAGGTTTGAAATATTTTCAATTTATACATACAAAAATACAGTTTGCCTTTAATCTCTATTTCCGGCCCTGTAAGAAAAGACTAAAAAACAACACGGAATCCCAAATTCACGCTTACTACACCTAGGTACACTAGGGGCTAATGAAAGCTTGACTTTCATTATAGCTGCCCAGTTTCGGCAGCCTGGGACGCATCCCCACCCTGATTTGCTCCAGGCCGGCGCGAGGGAGTCCTTGCTCCGCCCCTTTCCTCACAGCCAATGGGTTGCGCGGCACCACTAGCGGGAGCAGGGGCCTCCTCCCCATCGCCCCAGGCTCCCGCTGGACGTCTACGTCCCTTCCCGGGCCGGGCGCATGCGTACTCGTATTGGGCCCTAGAGAGGCGCTTAGGGATCGGTTTTCTGCTCCTTTCTTTCCCCAGTCGCGCAATTCTCCAAAAGCCTTCCCACACTGCTGTTGCTGAGGAGTGCCCTCTATCACTCGCGGAGGGTGCACGGGCCTTGGGTGCGCCAGTTTCCGGATGTGGAGCCGCTCTCGCCCGGCGGGGACTCTCTGGCGGGGCGGAGCGCGGCGGCGTGCGCGGGGGCAGAGGGAAGGGGGCCCGTGGGCCCGGGCGCTCACCGGACGCCGGGAGGTACCATCGCCGCCCACGGGGGACGCGGCGGCGCCGGCGCTCGGGTGCCCACCCCGCGGTGAGGGGCCGGGGGAGAAAAAAGGCCGGCAGTTAAGCTCGCTTCCCGCCGCCCTCGCCGTCCCTCCCGGGCTAGCCTCCCCCGGCCCCCTGCGCTCCCCGCGCTCCCGGCCGGGGGAGAGCGTGGTTTCTTGGCGGCCGTCGCTGTAGCCCGGCCGGGGAGCCCGGAGGAAGCGGGGGAGTCCTCGCCCACGGCCCCCTCCCCTCTGCCCGCCCGCCGCTGCCTCTGACCCGCTGCGGTCCGGCCTCCAGTCCGAGAGGGGGGCGCGGCTGCGGCGGCGGAGACTGGGGAGCGGCTGCGGGCTCGGCGGGGACCGCGCCGCCGCCCCCGTGAATTATTCCCACGTCCCCCGGGGCTTGCTGCTGCTCCCGCCGGCGCCGAGAGCCCGGCCCGGGCCCAGCTCCCTCACGGGGCCCCCGGCAGCAGGAGCGGCGGCAGCGGCGGAGCCCACCGCCCGGGCTCCGATGAGTAATTCCCGGAATAACCGGGTGATGGTGGAAGGGGTCGGGGCCCGGGTGGTGCGCGGCCCGGACTGGAAGTGGGGAAAGCAGGACGGTGGCGAGGGCCATGTGGGCACGGTCCGGAGCTTCGAGAGCCCCGAGGAGGTAGTGGTAGTGTGGGACAACGGAACCGCGGCCAACTACCGCTGCTCCGGGGCCTACGACTTGCGCATCCTGGACAGCGCGCCCACCGGTGAGTGTCGGCCCCTGGTCTCGGGCCTGCGCGCGGTGGGAAGGGCGAGGCCGGGGTGGACGGTGGGCTCCCTGGGAGAAGCCCGGGGTGGAAAGGGGAAGAGGCAGAGGGAATTTTAGGTTCAATACCGGGTAAACAAAAACTTGGAGAAAAGACCCCGGTACCCCTAAGGGAAACGATGCGACACTCTCACCAGGATGCTCTCACGCCTGGAAGGCACAAAGCACCCCGAACACGACAGACGGTTCCCGGCCTCCTCCTCCTCTAGGGAAGGGGCCTGGAGAGGCCTAATAAACCATTGAAGTTAATCAGCCACCAAGTAATAACTGTCTGAGGAGAGGCTTGCTAGCCATATGGTCTTTAGTAGACGGCTTATGATTGCCAGGGGGCTGGTGGTATTTCAGATTTGTTGAGATAGCTTTTTATTTTTTGCTTTTTCTTTTGCCTCCTGCAACAAATAGAACGACTTGTTTATTAGCCGAAATGATAATTGGAACCCTGTGGAATGATTTTTCATCGAAATTGTTTCATTACCTAGAAGGGGAAAAACAGTCTAAACTGTTGAACCGTTTCTTTGTGTTAAATACTTTTTCCAAGTTAAATAAGATAGGCACTTGATTTTTGGTTATTGTTAACATCCCATCTCATATGTAAGATTATGTCAGAGACTTACCCTTTCACACAGTAATGAGTCAATGTCCTTGATTCACAAATTTCAGAGAACTGTTACTGACTTTTTAAATGTAATTTTTATATAATATAAACCAAAGGCTTGCTCTCACAAAATGAAGATCTAATTTATTTTAATCGAATTCATTTTCACAGATTTATGATACTCTATTTTCTAACTAGAAGATAGTTCAGATTTAAGATTGGATACTTTCAGAATGCATCAATAAGCTACTTTTTAAATTTGAGACCTAATTGACATTAGTTTCAGATGTACAACATAAGTGATTTGATGTTTGTATATATTACATAATGATTACCACAATAAATCTAGTTAATATCCATCACCTCACATAGTTACAAAATTTTTTTATGAGAACTTTTTATCTACTCTCAGAAACTTTCAAATAAAGTTGATAAATATAGTTAACAAAGTATTAGTAACTATAGTCGTCATGCCCTGCAATGCCCATGACTATTTTATACCTTTTGACTCCCTTCACCCTTTTGCCAACTCCTTCCATCCCTCATCTCTGGAAACCACCAATCTGTTTGTATTTATGAGCCCCGTGTTTTGTTTTAGATTCCACATATTAGTGAGATTATAAGGTATTTGTCATTGTCTAACTTCTGTCACTTAGCATGATGGCCTCAAGGTCTACCCCCATTATTGCAAATGGCAAGATTTCATTCTTTTTTCTAAGGCTGAATAATATTCCATTGCACAGATATATATCATTTTCTTCATCTGTTCACTGATGGGAATTTAAAAATTAGTTTGTATCCTTGTCTTGGCTATTGTTTTTACTGCTGCAGTGAACATGGGAGTGCAGATATTTCCTAGAGATGCTGATTTCATTTCCTTGGGTGATACCCGTAAGTGGGATTGCTGGATCATATTTTTAATTTTTTGAGGAACCTCTGTACTGTTTTCCATACTAGCTGTACCAGTTTATGCCCACCAGCAGTGAATAAAGGTCCCCTCTTCTCCACATTCTTAACAATGCTTGTTGTCTTTTTTTTAAAATTAAAGTATCATTGATATGCAATCTTATGATGGTTTCAAATACACAACAGTGGTTCATCATTCACCCATATTACCAAGTCATTACCCCCTCCCGTTGTGGTCACTGTTTATTAGCATAGTAAGATGCTATAGAGTCATTACTTGTCTTCTCTGTGCTGTACTGCCTTCCCAGTGACCTACCTATATTGTGATTGGGAATTATAGTGCTTCTTAATCCCCTTCTTCCTCCCTCCCCACCCTCCCTGGGCCCTCTTCTTTGGTAGCCACTAGGTCCGTTCTTGGTGTCTGTGAGTCTGCTGCTACTCTTTCTGTTCTGCTCTGTTTTTGTACTCCACAAATGAGTTAAGTTATTGGTACTTGTCTTTCTTCGCCTGGCTTATTTCATTGAGCCTAAAACCCTCTAGATCCATCCGTGTTGCAAATGGAAGGATTTCTTTTCTTTTTATGGCTGAATAATACTCCATTGTGTGCATATACCACATCTTTATCCATTTGTCTATTGATGGACACTTAGGTTGCTTCCATATCTAGGCTATTGTAAATAGGGCAGCAGTAAACATAGGGTTGCATATGTCTTTTGAATCAGGGATCTTGTGGGAGTGGAATTGCTGGGTCAAATGGTATTTCTGTTCTTAGTTTTTTGAGGAACTCCATATTGCTTTCTGCAATGGTTGAATTAATTTACATTTCCACCAGCAGTGTAGAAAGGTTCCCCTTTCTCTGCATCCTTGCCAGCATTTGTTTCTTGTCTTTTGGATGTTGGCCATCCTAACTGGTATTGAGGTGATACCTCATTGTGGTTTTAATTAGCATTTCCCTGATAATTAGTGATGTGGAGCATCTTTTCATGTGCCTGTTAGCTATCCATATTTCTTCTTTGGCTAAGTTTCTTTTCACGTCCTCTACTCATTTTATTTTTTATTTTGGTATCATTAATCTACACTTAGATGAGGAACATTATGTTTACTAGACTCTCCCCATCACCAAGTTCTCCCCACATACCCCATTGCAGTCACTGTCCATCAGCATAGTAAGATGCTGTAAACTCACTACTTGTCTTCTCTGTGTTGTACAGCCCTCCCAGTGCCCACCCCCCACATTATACATGCTGATCATAATGCCCCCTTTCTTCCCCCCGCCCCCCTTATCCCTCCCTTCCCATCCATCCTCCCCAGTCCCTATCCCTTTGGTAACTGTTAGTCCATTCTTGGGTTCTGTGAGTCTGCTGCTGTTCTGTTCCTTCAGTTTTTTCTTTGTTCTTATACTCTATAGATGAGTGAAATCATTTGATACTTGTCTTTCTCCACCTGGCTTATTTCATTGAGCATAATACCCACTAGCTCCATCCATGTTGTTGCAAATGGTAGGATTTGTTTTCTTCTTACGGCTGAATAATATTCCATTGTGTATATGTACCCCATCTTTATCCATTTATCTGCTGATGGACACTTAGGTTGGTTGCTTCCATTTCTTGGCTATTGTGAATAGTGCTGCGGTAAACATAGGGGTGCATATGTCTTTTTCAAATTGGGCTGCTGCATTCTTAGGGTAAATTCCTAGAAGTGGAATTCCTGGGTCAAATGGTATTTCTATTTTGAGTTTTTTGAGGAATCTCCATACTGCTTTCCACAATGGTTGAACTAATTTACATTCCCACCAGCAGTGTAGGGGGGTTCCCCTTTCTCCACAACCTCGCCAACATTTGTTGTTGTTTGTCTTTTGGATGGTGGCGATCCTTACTGGTGTGAGGTGATATCTCATTGTGGTTTTAATTTGCATTTCTCTGATGACTAGTGGTGTGGAGCATCTTTTCATGTGTCTGTTGGCCATCTGAATTTCTTCTTTGGAGAAGTGTCTGTTTCAGCTCCTCTGCCCATTTTTTAATTAGATTATTTGCTTTTTGTTTGTTGAGGTGCGTGAGCTACTCATTTTTTTAATCGGGTTATTTGTTTTTTAGTCGTTGAGGCATATGAGTTCTTTATATATTCTGTATGCTAACCCCATGAGTCATTTACGAATATATTCTCCCATACTGTAGGATGCCTTTTTGTTCAGCTGATGGTGTCCTTTGCTGTACAGAAGCTTTTTAGTTTGATGTAGTCCCAGTTGTTCTATATTGATGTTTGTTGTCTTTTTGGTAATAATCATTCTAACAGGTGTGTAGCAATATTGTGGTTTTGCATGTCCTTGATAAGTGATGTTGAGCATCTTTTCATGTACCTGTTGGTCATCTGTGTGTCCTTTTTGGAAAATTGTTCATATTTCTGCCTATTTTTTTTATGGTATCATTAATATACAATCACATGAGCAACACTGTGGTTACTGGATTCCCTCCATTATCAAGTCCCCACCACATATCCCGTTACAGTCATGGTGTAGGAAGATGCTATGGAGTCACTACTTGTCTTCTCTGTGCTATACTGCCTTTCCCCATGCCTTCCCCCCCATTATGTGTTTTCTGCCTATTTTTGAATCACATTGTATTTTTTGCTATTGAATTCTATAATTCTTTATATATTTTGGATATTAACCCCTTATCAGATGTATAATTTGCAAATGTGTCCTCCCAGTTCAGTAGGTTGCCTTTCCATTTTTTTTTTAGACTTTTTAAATTGTGACAAAATATAATGTAAGATTTACCTTTTGAACCATTTAAAAATATACAGTTCAGTGGCATTAAATACATTCACTTTGTTGTGCAACCATCGCCACCCTCCATTTCCAGAACTTTTTCATCACCCCAAACTGAAATTCTGTACCCATTTAATGCTCACTCACTCTCTCTCTAATCCTTGCTTCCCAGTCCCCTGACAACCACTCATTTACTTCCTGTCTTTATGAGACATCCCCAGGTATCCCATAGAAGGGGAATCATATGGTATTTATCCTTTTGTTACTGGCTTATATCACTTAGCATGTCATCAAAGTTTATCCATACTATAGCATGTGGCAGAATTCCCTTCCTTTTCAAGACTGAAGGATATTCCAGTATATGTATATACTACATTTTTGTTCATCTGTCAGTGCCACTCTAATTGTTTCTACTTTTTAGCTATTTTTAATAAAGCTTCTATGAGCATGGGTATACAAATAGCTCTTTGAATCCCTACTTTCATTTATTTTGAGTATGTACCTAGAAGTGAATTGCTGGATCATATGGTAATTCTATTTAAGTTTTTTGAGGAACCACCACACCATTTTTCACAGTGCCTACACCATTTTACATTCCCAAGAATAGTCTACAAGGGTTCCAGTTGCTACACATGCTCACCAACATGTGTTTTCTGTTTTTTGTTTTTAATTA